AAACCTCCCGAAATCTTCAAAAGCCAACTAAACTTCTCTGAAGAGGTGAAATACCTTGGTATTATCCTCGACAAGAAGCTAACATGGAACTCTCATCTACAGAGTAGAGCAAAAAGAGCATACGTGGCTTATGAGCAATGTCGGAGGACAGTGGGACGCGCATGGGGTCTTTCACCCCGTGTAGTCGCCTGGATCTACACTGCAATAATAAGACCTATGTTAACGTACGGAGCCATTGCATGGGGGCCTAAAGTTCTACAAGCAACGGCCATCCAAAAATTATATCAAAATACAGCGATTGGCTTGTTTTGACATCACAGGAGCCATGAGAACAACACCAACCACGGCAATGGAAATAATCACTGGTCTGACCCTTCTGGATCTGTACGTTAAGGAGGTTAGGTTAATGGCCATGTTACGATTGAGCACGGCTGGTGTAAACCTCAAAGTAGAAATGAGCCAATTGAGGCTAAGACTATGGCGAGAAGTCCCTGAATCTTCTGGGATATTCTGGAATATTGCGAAATAGTTGGGCTTCGTAAGCATGCCCTTAGGACCATACTGGGAATATTCTTCACGAATGGGAAATTGAGAGCTACCGAGCCATGTTACTCTATACGTTGTTTCACATTGTTTCTGAGATGTTCCAGAATCTTCTCTAATATTCCAAACTATTCCTGGGTGTTCCACAACATACCAAAATCTTTGGAGATATTCTGGAGTATTGTGGAATAGTTGGACTGTTCCAGTCTTTATATCTTCGTAAGTATGCCCTTTGGGTCAAACTGGAAACCTTCTTTGCATATGAAAAATTTATAGCTACCTAGCGATATAAATCCTTTGATTATTCAACAATTTTCTGGGATGATCCAGAATTTTCTTAGTGTTCCAAACTGATCCTGAGAATTCCGCAGCATACCAAAATGTTTGGGAATATTCTGGAATGTTGTGGGATGCTTTAGAATACGCCAGAATATTCTGGACTGTTCTAAAACTGTCTCTGCCAATGCGGATCCGAGTCGGATCGCTAGTAGTTTTTGTTCACCATGAAAATATTTTCATTACGAGTAGTTTTGCTATTCACTGAATGCAAAATTCACACATACATCCTGCTCATATTCCCTGCTAATATTTCGGGACAAGGGCGCGCCTATGTTTCCACTTAACCTAGCTGAAAATTCTCGGTAATTACCCTTAAAAACATTTGCCGGAATCGATCACTTCTTCGAAAAAAAAAGACATTTTTCTCTCCGGAGCTATAACGTACTCGCTGTAAACGATGTCTATAGACGGGGAGGAGACCGGTTGGCGCTGTGACCAAAGGATATTTGGCAGGATGCCTCGCAATGGTCCTGCACCGCCCGCAGGACAGTCCTGAAAAAGTATGTCGGTTTCGGTACAGAGCTATTTATTCAAATGTGCTCCTTTGATGTTGCTGCGGGTTTTATTGGAAAAGTTGTTCTGAATGTGCTCACGTTTGGTGTTTTTTTGGAATAGTCGAATCAACGAGGGCTCTTCCTAGGAAGTCCTTACAGATCCTATTTTGATGATACGGTTTTACTAGTTTATATTATTCGAAAACAGAAACCTTTTGAAGCGTATACCGAATCATTAATATGTTGTTTGTCTCCTCTCGAAACATTTTTCCGTCTATTAGTATTAACTATTTCGCTAAAAATAAAGTTGGTTTCGATTAATGAATGGAGTGGAAATGAAGTGTCTGAGAAAAATTGTTGATATATAGGTTATAGTGAGTGATTTTTTGCTGGTATATTTTTGGCGACACTGTTTTTACAGATCGTGAATCGTGTCTTGTGTCATTGTCAAACTTGTTCAGTTTGGTCTATAATTTAACCATGAATCGACTTACGAATGAACAACGCCTGCAAATTATTGAATTTTATTATAAAAATCCATGCTCGGTGCATCGTGCACTTCTTCCAATTTATGGGCAGTTTCGTCGGCCTACGGAGCTACTCGGAAGCCTGTGACTAAATTTCGAACCCAGTTTACATTATTGGACATTAAACCACCGACACTCATACGTAGAGTGAGGACCGAAGAAAATATTGCGGCTGTATCCGCCAGTGTTCGTGATGACCGTGAAATGTCGATTCGCCGCCGTTCGCAGCAATTGGGCGTCTGTTACTCCACTTCGAGGATAATTTTGCGACAGGATTTGGGTGTGAAACCTACTAAGATACATCTGGTGCAAGAATTGAAGCCACACGACCTCTCACAACAGTTTGGTGTGGATTATGGGTCGTTGGCATCATCGGGCCGTACTTCTTCAAAGATTACAAAGGCCGGACGTTACTATGAATGGCGAGCACTAACGTGTGATGAACCAGCAACGACTGACGCTCTGGGAGCCAATATTGAAGCATTCATACGTGAAATATCAGTCGATATGTTAGAGAGAGTGTGCCAAAATTGGACCTTCCGCATGAGCCATCTGAAGCGGAGCCACAGACAATATTTGCATGAAATTATCTTCAAACATTAAATTATATTGATCGTTTTATTGACTCCAATAGAGATTTCATAATTTTTTTCAAATTTTTGTTGTTGTTTCGAAAATCATAACCTATGTCTCTTAAAAAATCACCCGTTAGTACAATCTATTATGTACTTGAAGAATACAACTGGAAGGCAATTTTTAGGAAAGGAAAATACTGGCTGAACATAATATTGATCGGAGTCAAGCAGATAGTTACGTGGATCATTCAATTGGGCAATCAGCTCTAGATAGTGACTTTAATGATCTATGAATGAGCAAAAAAGTTAGAATGAATAGCTGAAATATCAATTACATTAAGCAATAAAACGTGAAATAAAAATACAATAAAGAGAATAAAATAATCAAGGTGAAAAGTGAAAATGATCACAAAGTAAAAAGAAATAAAAAACTGTAAGGATAAACCTAGTCAAAAAATTAAAAAAAAATAAATAAAAAATATTTCAAACCTAGTTATTTCACGACGTTTCGATTGTTAGTATTCACAATCGTCTTCGGGTGATGACTGGAGTATTCCCCCGAGAGATGTCTATTCATGAGCCTTTCGAGCAGTTTCACCTATTTTCTCTTCCTTTTCTCCGCTTCAGCAGGAGTTGATCGTTTGGTGGGAGTTGACCGCTTTCACGCTTGATCACTAGTTTCCATATGTTGCGTATCTCTACGCTAGTTTGCATGAATGCGTTGTTGGACTACATATATGCAGCTCTTTGAACTCCCTCTTGAACCAGTGTTCCTCCTTGGGAATATCTCAGCTTGGGATCACTTGATGTTATGTTGAAAAGTCCAAACATGCTCTGACATTCTCGATTTGCTGGTTTCTCTCCGTTGTGTGTTTGATAATGCGAACATTCAATGGCCTCTTCGTTTTACCGATATAGAATTTGCCGCACTTGCAGAGTATCCAGTAAATGCAATTCTTAGGATCGTACTTCGCGTGTGGTGGCTAGTTTTTTTGAGGCTGCTACGGATGATGTTCCCGTATCTGAAGCAGGTTCTGATGTTGTAATTGGGCCCAATTCTTCTTATCCTTTTCAATGATCCTCTGATGTAGTGAAGTCCAAGCACTGGTTGTGACGGCTTCTCTTTCTTGCGAGGCTCCTGCTGTCTTCTAACCAAAGTCTGTTCCACCATCGTTTTGGAGTAGCTATTTCGTTGAAGATCATTTTTGATCATTTCTAGTTACTTCTCGAGACCTTACTTCGTATTACAGAGCCCGAAAGCACGGTCTAATAGAAGTAGACTCGGCCCCGATTGAGCGAGACAGACACCTGGAGTGAGACAGACATCTGGAGCGAGACAGACAGCCAGGCATCCAACCGTGGTATACCAGTGACGAACAGTGATACAACAGGCATACAACTAAATTGTCACGCGAGACAGGGTCAAATTTGAATAGATCAGGTTTTTGATGAGGTTGAATGGACACTTGATCTGCTTCTATCAGGTCTGCTGAATTGGTTTTGATCCGGTTTGAACCGGTTATGAACAGGTTTTATCAGGTTTGAACTGGTTTACAACAGGCCTGAACTGGTATTAATCTGATAATGTGATTAAATTCTTTC